TTTCCTGACGAGCTCGCTGCTCAGGAGTGGCTTGTGGAATGGGAGCGTTTCCGTGTACCATCGGGTTCATACTCGGATACACCCCGGATCCTGCTGGTGCCAACACCGTTCTGAAAGCGGAACCATCAAAGTGCATTGCTCCAGTGAAACGGCATGTCACGACGACTATTCTTTGCCCCTGTACTACTGTTTGACGGCAGAACCCTCTGCAGCAGCCTTGACTAGGGCTGACGATCCAGCCGATAGTCCTCCGCTTTTCGGCTTAGCCCAAGACACTCGGAGGCGCTGAGAGACGACATTTCCACTGACAAAAGAATCTACAAATGCCGATGACACTTACGGCTCCGTTTATAACAAGATTGCTGCCGCCCTTCTCTGCAGCGGCCTTTTCAGCTGATTGGCGCCCAGTGAACTCGACGAAAGCGCCTGAAGCCGCAAGGTACTGATGGCAACTCCCTCACTGATTCATCACTCACAGTTGGATTTCTCCACAAGAACGATTGAGTCGATCTGGCCGAACTCTTCGAATTCCGCACGAATGTTGCTTTCCCCGATCTGTGCATTTGGATCGATCCCACCTACCAAGGTGACATTGCTGGCAGCATAACCATGGCTTCTCGCCAGACGCTGGTGCACGACGTTACTAACAGCAGCCCATCCTGTAGTACCAATATACAGAGTAGTGATGGAAGTATCCTCCGGAGCTTCCAACTGGAACTTCTCGGCTGCCTGCTTGAGTATCTTCTTGGCCACAGGATCATCAGTACCATGATACCTGATGGTGAGTATAACTCGATGCCATCTTCTTTGTATGGTCCCTCTGTACACCCTCCTGACCTGTCTCTTATATTCTGGTCGTTCAGATCATTCCCCTCGGGTTTGGGCATCTCATGCCGGTACCTGAAAGCCGCAACGATGAGCCCTCAGCCACCTCCAGTCGGCGATACTCCTACGGGCATTCGTCTCCCCTGTTGCATGTGCCCTTCACAAAGAAGGAGCATATACGTGCCTGGTTCCGCTCGTAATACGGCGCTGTTCTGGCCAACTAACACGAGAGAGCATCGGACCAGTACAAAGGGAGACTTCCTTACCTTCTGCAACATAGGATGATGCTTGAGTTTGCCATAGGTCAAGGCTGGATTGGCATTTTGGGAGTTGTTGAGTGCTTGGTAGTCTCGACCAACGGTCGATTCAGGTAGACTCAACTTCTCGGCTTCCGACAGGAACTGCACATCATGACCACGTGGTCGAGAGGAGGATGTCTTGAGAGTGTCTATCCTACCTTATCTCGGACCTGTACCGGCAGACCAAAATCGAGGTCGAAGATGCACACTTGACAGACGTTCTTCATCCTTGCACAGTTTTGGCAGAGCACAGTCTGCTTGTATCTGCATGGCCTCATCTACTACCTACTCCTCCTCTACTACTAC